CGAGCTGAAGTATGTGCTGAATATGGTACGGAAGAATTTGCTTCCTGAATTTCAAAAACGTTGGAATCAGGCTTATAGGAAGAAAGAACGATTCCTGCAAAAGAATGCCAGCTGGTTGAACAGTGAATATTCCGTAAATTTATATACATCCGATGAAACTTCTACATCTGAAAAGAAGGCAGGAAGACCATGCAAGGCTTTCAAAGAATCGGCCGAAGTAACACAAAAACAAAAAGCTAGAAAATTATTCCATGATTCAGGACTTGATCATATCTATCACTCTTATGTTCGAGGACTGCGTTCAATTGGTGAAGAAAAGGAATCAGAAATTATTCAAGAGATACGATCTGCATCACCAGAGATAAATGGTGCACCAACAGCTAACAAAGGATCATACTCCTATAGTTTCGTTTACTAATGAGGAAGCTTTGTCTATGTTTATTGATTTAGATTTAACAAGAAATCAATATGTGCACCTCAGAAAATGCTTATTAGAAAAGGGATGTAGATTATTGCCATCTTACACACATATAGGTCAAGCGAAAGAGGACTGCTACCCGGATAAATCAAATATAAAAATAACCGATACAAGCGCGAGTGTAAATCTGCAGTCCCTTCTTAATCATACTGCCAATCGATTGTTGATGATAAATTCGCTTCAGACAATGAATCCACAAAACTTAGTTTTATACAGTAAGTGGGGTTGTGACGGTTCATCCGGACAAAGTGAATATAAACAAATACTTTCCGGAGAGAGTGAGTTCATTTCTGATGCCAATTTGTTAATATCATCTTTGGTTCCAATAAGACTAATTAATGAGGACACAAATGATGTTATTTGGCAAAATTCGACCCCTTCTTCCGCTCGATTTTGTCGACCTATTTCTATAGAATTTTCGAAAGAACCAGAAAAAACGAACAATCTTATTAATGTAATTGAAGCACAGATACGTGTACTTGCACCCACCTCAGCTATAGTTGGAGAGAAAACAGTGACGATAAAACATGAATTGTTCTTGTAACGATAGTTAACTCCTCCCGGTACGGAATTTCGGACGGGACTCCGGAATCCGTGATTACTCCGCGAATAAACGCGATACTTAGTCGGACGCGCGGTTCCGACTAACGGTTGGAGGAGTTAGCTTCTCGGTTTCCGGTATTTTGACGTGCTGCGTGTCGGTTCGAGTGAATCCTCCGTTCCTCCTGTTGCCGAATATGCTCAGCTCCAGGGCCGTCGGGAGGAAAGGAGGCGAGGTAGATTTTAATTCGCAAATAGAGTCAATCGCTTGGAAGGGATTCGGAAAATAAGTCTTACAGGTTTTGCGGTAATACAATAGGAACAAGGTTTATTCAACGGATATCATACAAGGAAATCGAGGTAGTTACAATAGGTTCGCCCTATAGGTAAATACAGAGGAAAAGAAATAAGGATTAGTGAGTACAATGAGTCCGCCCTGTAGGTAAATATAAAAGAAAAGGATTAGACGGATTAAATTGCGGTACCGGAGTACGCGGTCAGATCGGAATAAACTTAGTTGGAATTTAAACGGAAGTAAACAAAACTTGACGCTGGATCACGGAATATAGGAAGTACTACAAGATACGCTTTACGCGCAAACGGATATAATTCACGGCTAATACTAAACGCTTGGTAACGCTGGAACAATCGGGAAGGACGCTAATTACGGGGTCCTCGGATATTCTGGAAGAAAAACGGAAGGTATTAACACTACGGAGCTTACGGCTATCGATAATTAATAACGCGTCTCCCACCCAAATATTCCCCCCTGTGTTCTATACCGGTCGGGGGTCAGGAAAAAGGATAGGTTCAGGTCGGGAACACGCCCGAGCAGCGCCTCGTTATGCGTGTGTTCTCAGTAGCATGTGTACACCGGGCAGCACCCCGTACTGTGTACGCTACTGCGGACGGAAAGGAGACCGGTAGGGGATCAGTAGTGATGTACATCGGGCAGCACCCCGTTCTTGTACCCTACTGCGGGGAGGCCGGAGCACACGACGGAGCAGCGCCTCCACCTGTCGTGTACCCCGGAATGGTATAACGCCGGACGGCAGGACCCGTTATACCGGCGTATACCGCAGCGGAGGTACCCGCTGCCGGGTGTCGTCGCTCGGTGCTCCGAGGAAAGACTGGGTAATCGCGCTCGCTCCGGAGGGGCTTTTATACCCCTGGAGCCTGGTCGCGCGGGTGGGAGCGGCGGGGGTAGGCGCGGCGTTGCCACCTCCGCGTCGTTATGGTAACCGCGGCTCTGGTATGCTTGGAATGCGAGGAATGCGGCCACTTCCGGCCGCGCCTTCCCGGCTACCCCCGTTACATTCTTAATAATGGTAGATGGAAAGGTGGTACAAGTATTAACAAATACACCGTCTGCCTTAACTCGCACTGTATGTTACGCCAAGCCATCAGAAATGAACGATTTGAATCGCATAATGCAAAAAGTTGCAAATGAAGAAACCTACAGATTTGGACTTTCCACGTTACATGCGTGGATTCGATTTATGGAATTGGTTTTACATTTATAGTACAACTTGTCCTTCAAAAAATGGTGTGCAACCACTGATGTACACAAAAAAGGAAAAGAAACTAAAAAGCGATATATACAAGAACGGTTTCGAAATGAACTAGGTTTAATAATTGATAAAACACGCCACGTTAGTGGAAATAGCAATGACGGCAATACTGCGCGTAGGTTTTTTGATAATGAAGCTTACACTGCTGACATTACAGGAATTGATGAAGAACTAATAAGACGATTTCATATTATATTGCAAGCTATGTCATCTGGAATACAAATAAATCCTCAAAAGTTTGGAGAATATGCTTATAGAACAGCAGAGTTGTACGTAACTAAATATGAATGGTATTGTGGCGACCCACGCCACATCGGGCGCGCGGGCACCACACGTCACGGCGCCGCTCCTACGAGCGCTGGCGACACGGCGCGCGGCGGTAGTCCGGCGCGCCGCCGATAGGCGGACACAGCGCCGGCAGCATACTCGCACTCAGAATTCAGTGGCGATGGGTATATTAAGACCTCCGGCGGCGACGAAATTTCAATAAGTGTTTCTCGTCGGAGACAGTTCGCGAGTGCCAGTAGTCGTCTGTAGTACTGATCGGGTGAGCCCCACGGGCCTCGATTATTTTCCTCCAAGCGAGCCCCTTGGGCCTTGGATTCTCACCGAGCGAGCCTTCCTAGGCCTCGGTATCTTCGCCGAGCGAGCCTCCCTAGGCCTCGGTATCATCGCCGAGCGAGCCTCCCTAGGCCTCGGTATCATCGCCGAGCGAGCCTCCCTAGGCCTCGGTATCATCGCCGAGCGAGCCTCCTTAGGCCTCGGTATCATCGCCGAGCGAGCCTCCCTAGGCCTCGGTATCATCGCCGAGCGAGCCTCCCTAGGCCTCGGTATCATCGCCGAGCGAGCCCCTTGGGCCTCGGTATCTTCACTCGAGCGAGCTTCTGCAAAGGCCTCGACCACTTCCTCGAGCGAGCTCCACGGGCCTCGACTTCTACCCAAGAGAGCTCCTGAGGGCCTTGGCACCACGAAGGGATCCTGCCACGAGTCCGTCGACGAACCCGAGACGTTCCACCACCAGGAAGCCCAGAGCGCGTACCGCCTCTGCCACCGTCGCATCCCGGACCACCATCGGATCCACGACTGCTCCGGAGGCCTCTACCTCCACCGATACTTGGACACAGTTACTCCCGTGGAGACTACAGCCGATTGTAAATATAGGAGCCCGGTTCCGAGAGCAGGGAACCCAAGTCCACTGCAGTATTGCCACCGTCGACGCGGCCACTCAGACGACCCAGCAGGGTTCGGCCGAAGTCCAGGTCGTGCCTGTGAAAGTGGTGCAACCATCCTCGCCGAGAGGAACGCAAAGCGCGGCAGGCCTAGACAGCCCCGAAGAAGACTCGCAACCGCTCTTCTCAGGGTGACACTCACAAACCGCCCTTTTCAGGGCGACCAAAAGCATAGAACGAGAGAACACCTCTGATTCTCCGCAAGGAACGCTACAAAATTGGTGACCCCGACGTGATCATAAATACAATTATGCCGAACACGCAAGACCTACCTAACGTAACAACAACGGAGGCGCAAATACACCGAGTGGCTCTGAAAATACCACCATTCTGGTCGGACGAGCCGGAACTATGGTTCGCGCAGCTGGAAAGCCAGTTCACACTGGGCGAAATCGTGCAAGATGGCACCAAGTATGCCTACGTATTATCGCACGTAGAAACGAGACACGCGAAAGAAATCAAAGATTTGATCACTAACCCTCCGGTGCGAGACAAATATGAGAGCATCAAGAAGGCTCTCATTCAACGCCTCTCAGTGTCACAAGAACAACAGATCCGACAATTACTAGAGACCGAAGAGATGGGCGATCGAAGACCATCACAATTCCTGCGGCACCTGCAAGCTTTGGCGAGCACCGCCATCCCAGAACAATTGCTGAGGACATTGTGGATGGGACGATTACCTGCACAGCTACAGGCTATCCTTGCCACACGCAACGGAGACAATCTCGATGAAGTCGCCGAACAAGCGGACAGGATACACGAAGTGACATGTAGAGCAGTAGCGGTGGCCAGCATACAACCAGCTACCGCAAAACCCGCTGCTACCAAGACGACACTAGAGCAACAAGTAGAACTTTTAACTAAGCAGGTGGAAAACCTCCATAAACGCATGTCACGCTCTAAAAATAAGGAGGATAGCCGAGGGCGGTCAAGAAGCCGTTCAAGACAGGATCAACCTGAAGGTGGCGTGTGCTTCTACCACCACCGATACAAGGAAAAAGCACAAAAATGCACTCCACCGTGTAACTTCAAGAAACAGGTGGAAAACTAGAGGGGCGGACGTTGTCAGCGGCGAACGATCCCAGCCCGAAACCGGGCCGCTTATTTGTCACGGACCGCCACACTAAAACGCGGTACCTCATCGACACTGGTTCAGATGTCAGTGTTTACCCTCACTCGATGACGCGAGGACAACGCTGGCTAAACACCAGGACTCTCTACGCGGCGAACGGATCCATTATCCCGACTTACGGGGATCAGGCATTACCCATCCCGGACATCACAGCAGAGACAGTCGGAAAGCAACTCTTCACAAATTGGATCGCCCGTTACGGCACCCCTTCACGAATTACCACGGATCAGGGACGGCAGTTCGAGTCCGACCTGTTCAAACGGTTAACACAATTAACGGGATCCACACACCTACGCACCACAGCCTATCACCCGGCAGCAAACGGAATGATAGAAAGATTTCACCGACAACTTAAGGCAGCAATTAAAAGCCACGAGACAGAAAATTGGGTGGAAGTACTACCAGTAATTTTACTGGACGTGAGAAATGCGTGGAAAGAGGACCTACAAGCTACTCCCGCAGAAATGGTTTACGGGGAAACAATTAGATTACCCGGACAATTCCTCGGGGAAACCGAGAAAGAAGTTAATACGGCAGAAGGCTTTGCATCACGTTTGAAGAACATAATGAAGAACCTACAACCGAAATTTAAAACGCATGGCAAGAAGAACACATTTGTGTACAAAGACATGGCAACAACGAAACAGGTTTTTCTGCGGCATGACGCACCATGTGGCGCATTACGTCTCCCGTACGATGGGCCATACGAAGTACTACATAGGAGCATTTATTTTTATTATAAAATTATATAGAACTGTGTAGTTATGCAGATAGTCAGTATGCTCAAGCAATGTACGGAAAATCAGAAAGCTACTCCGACATTTTATGATAAATTCTGAGAATACAGTTTATCATGCGAGAGATTATAACTTTTTCTCACGGATATGTGCGATGACACATTAATAAAGGAATGATCCGTACGAATATCTACGCATTAATACAAGTATTCTGAAAACTTATTGTAAAACTTTGATAATTACCTATTAAAATTCGGTTGAGCAGCGCCAAGTTTTTGTACTTTAAAATAAAATATTTATTTGTATCAAATTGTCTAAACCGCGGGCAACGGGCGTCCGCGGGCGCCCAGCCGGCGGGCATGCCCCCACTCCAACGGGCAACGGGCGTCCGCGGGCGCCCAGCCGGCGGGCATGCCCCCACTCCAACGGGCAACGGGCGTCCGCGGGCGCCCAGTCGGCGGGCATGCCCCCACTCCAACGGGCAACGGGCGTCCGCGGGCGCCCAGCCGGCGGGCATGCCCCC